GCGTATTAGATTTTGGCGGCAGTTGGGATACGTATCTTCGGTTAGCGGAGTTTTCGTATAACAACAGTTACCATGCTAGCATAGATCGACCCCCCTTCGAGATGCTCTACGAGAGGAAGTGTAGGACCCCGATCTGTTGGGGCGAGGTCGGTCAGAGAGTTATGGGTAGTACCGAGGTGGTACTCAAGACTACTGAGATGATCTAGCAGGTCCGGAGCAGGCTCCAGACTGCTCAGAGTCGGCAGAAAAGCTACGCCGACAGACGCCGATTGGACTTGGGGTTCCAGGTCGGGGATATGGTCCTTCTGAAGGTGTCACCTTGGAAATGTGTCATCCGTTTCAGAAAACGGGGCAAGTTGGGCCCCAGGTACATCGGACCGTTCAGGGTTATAGCCCGGGTAGGCAAGGTGGCGTATCGGTTGGATCTTCGTGAGGAGCTTCGACAGATCCATAGCACTTTCCATGTATCACAGTTGCGGAAGTGCATAGCCGATGATACCGCGATAGTTCATGTGGAGGATATTCAGGTGGACGACTGCCTGAATTATGTTGAGAGACCCGTTGCGATTCTACACTGGAAGACGAAAACCTTGAGGAACAAGGTTGTACAGTTGGTGAAGGTGTAGTGGCAGCACCGTAAGGGCTCAGAGTGGACTTGGGAGCCAGAGGAGGAGATGAGGGAGCACTACCCAGAGTTATTCGAGGCAGCATACTTTGAGGACGGAGTCTAAGACAAGTGGGGGAGAATTGTAATCTCGGGTTCTTGGTATTTATTTAATAATAATTTATTCATTTTTACAGAGCAACTCGACGAGTTGGAAGCCCAAACTTGTCGACTAGAGATTAGATGAGACGCAGGTTTTAAGTAACCTACTCGACGAGCTGAGAGCCCTCAACTCGACGAGTAGGCTGGCAGAGGTGAAACCCTAATTTCGGGGTTTTGCACCGTATTTAAGCATCTTAATCCCCTCATTCTAGCCCCATTTCCAGCCTCCAAGTGCCAAACCCAAAATCTCGAAACCCTAATGTATTGTGTGAGCTTGTGAGTCATTTTTGAGAGAAATCTTGTGTGTGTGAAGCTTATGGAAGAAGGAGAAGCTTGAGGGCTCAAGAAGGAGATTATAGATCCAACAACTTCACTTCATTCTCAGCATTTTCTGGTAAGTAAGTCTCAAACTTGCTTAATGATTACTTAGATCTCTTTCTTATCACTTTTATTGGGTTTTTGTCCAAGTAGCATGGTCCTTGGGAAATGGACGTCCCAAGTGAGTATACTTCCAGATCTAGGACCTTGAAGGGATTTCATGGCATAAAGGTGGAGCCGCTAGGATGTAAACCGTCTGATCTTCCATTCACCTATCTTGGTGTTCCTGTAGGGGAGAACATAAAATATAAAAGACATTGGATGCCGGTGATAGAAAGATTCCAATCCCGATTGAACCTATGGAAGTCTAAGACCTTATCCCTTGGGGTTCGACTAACATTAGCGAAGGCTGTTCTTGGCAGCCTTCCTACCTTTTATTTCTCACTGTTTGTTGCTCCCACAGGTGTTATCAAGAAATTCGAAAGCATAAGAAGAAGATTCCTTTGGGGAGGTGCGGATGAGCAGAAGAAGATCAATTGGGTGTCGTGGCAATCGGTGACTGCTCCTAAAGAGATTGGCGGCCTAGGATTGGGTTCACTCCGGGCACTCAACCTATCACTAATTACGAAGTGGATATGGCGGCTGAAAGTGCACAACTCAGGTCTATGGAGTAAGGTTATTAAGGGAATTCACAATCTCTATAACAAACCTGCACAACATATATCCAAGAAGATAGTACCTGGAGTATGGAACCGAGTGGCTGGAGTACAAGATGAACTGAAAAAATATGGAATTGACATAGATGAAGTAATAACGAAAAAAATTGGATCCGGAGATGATACCATGTTTTGGCTTGACAGATGGATCGACGAATCAACACTAAAGACTTCCTTCCCGGAGGCGTACAAACTAGAGTGCCGCAAACACTGTAAAATCAGTGACCGGTTACAGCATGGTGTCATTAACTGGGAATGAAAATCAACTCCAAGAACTACGGATCAGATTAGTGAGATTAACACGCTCGCTACCACAGTTTGTGATTTCCAAGCTATGCCCGACAGAGATAAGTGGGTGTGCACAATATCTAGTGATGGTATATTCCATGTCGATGTCCTTAGAATGAAAATTGACCGTTGGAATATGCCATCGTTGGAGACTTCGTTAGAATGGATCCATGAGATCCCACTGAAGGTGACTTGCTTTATGTGGAGGGCAAACCTAGATCGAATTCCAACTGCATGCGCTCTACTCAAACGGGGTATTCAACTGGCATCCCCCCTATGTACCTATTGCGAGAATGAAGATGAGGATGCATCCCATGTGATCCTACGATGCCCAATGGCTGCAAAGGTATGGGAATGGGTGTTCCGTTGGTGTGACCTCCCTAATGTACAATTTGAATTTGTGGAGGAATTATAGAAGTTTACAGCACAATGAGGGACGTGTGCAAAGAAAAGAAAAGGCTTAATTAGTATCTGTTACGGGACGACATGGCTTATCTGGAAAGCAAGGTGTGATTGGGTCTTCAAAAAAACAAGAATTTCTCCCGTTAAAATGGTTGATTTGGTGAAATCTACGGTGTTTCTATGGATTAAATATAGGAGAGAACATTGTAATTTTCAATGGATTGAATGGTGCGTCAATCCCTTTCTCTGCATGTAATTTCTTTCCTTTTTCTTGTACTCTTTTTCCCTCCCTAACGTATAGCTAGGTTTGAGGTCTTTAATGATATTTGCCGGTTCAAAAAAAAAAAAAAAAAAAAAAAACTAAGGTTTTGCATCCTCTAGCTGTTTATATTTATGTAGCAAGACCTAAAGGTTTGCATCCCTAGATGTTTATATTTTACACCTTTTGTAAAAAGATTATTTAGGATGAAAAAAATTACATTAAGTACAAATTATCTCCTACTATGTTGTTCCATGTAATTTTATAGTATATCGTTTTTCTTATTTTAATACTTTATTCGTAGATAAAATATAAAAGAATGTGTCATAATCCATGTTTGACTTCATTTATCAAATTTCCCCCTTTTTACTTATATTTTGAGGCGGTCATGCATTAATATTTCTACACTCTCAGACCTAGCTCTTGATTATCTTTTTAATGTCGTGGATTGACCTTTCACCCAATTTGACATCGAGGGTGCTAATATTGGACCTAAAGTGAGAAAATATACAAGAATATTGGACCTAGCTCTTGATTATCTTTTTATCATCTTTGTTTGACTTTATTTCTCTAATTGACCTCTTTTAATTCATTTTTTAAGTGGTCCATGGACACAATGTCATTTCTACACTTTTCTAGACTTCTTATCAATAGCGTTCTTCATGGTCGTTGATACGACGTTTCGTGCAATTCGACATCATTGATGGTAATATTAGACCCAAAACATGTAGTCCACACTCCAAGTTGTTTGTACTTAGGTGCTGATTGTTTTTCGAAGCGAAAATTCATGAAGTCTGCGGACCACCTCTGCAATCCTCTGTAGCAGAAGAGGTGGAACAAACGACTGCAGCCCATAATAAGAAGAATGTTTGTTTTTTAACATCTGCAGACTGCTGCAGTAAACTAAAATTTAAATAAACTAATTTAATAAACTTAAAATAGTTCTCAACACCGAAATTTAATTAATTCTAGTCTTAAAACATTAAAAGAGTACTAAAAAGAACATATAAAAAAACAAAAATATAAAACTTTTTAAAAAAAAACTTAAAAAAATATAAAAGAAGCTAACAGATTTATTCTAGAAAAAAATTAATTTTAAAAAACATAAAAACGAAAATAATAAAAAAAATTAAGAAAATATTGCAAACGATGTCTACAAAGTTCGTAAAACATTGCACACGTTAAAAAAGATGAAACTGAAACTGAAAATATTATTAACGGAAACGGTAAAAAAATTAAAAAAATCAAAGCTTTTTTTTTTAAATCAAGTTAAAAAAATTTGTAAAAACTATAATAAGAAATTATATAAAATCCGTAAATAAAAGTTAAAAAAAATAAGTTATACTAAAATTCTAAAAAAATTGAAAGCTGAAGAGGTTTGAAGAGACAAGTCAAGTGCTGCGCCACGTAGCACACGCGCAGAGGTTTTGCAGTCTGAAGTCTTCCAAAAAACAAACTGCTGCGAGAGGGAAAGTGTTGCGCGTGTGCTGCGCCGCGCAGCAGAAAGTGGTTTGAAGAGGTTTTTCTAAAAAAACAAACAGCACCTTAGTCATTTTACCCTTATCAAATGAGTTTTCAACAATCGGGTGAAAAGGTCCTTTCATAAAAAACGTAAGAATAGGCATTCATTACATCAAAACTTGGACAATTTTATTAAAGATTATAAATCTACTTTTGAACTAATCCAAGCTTTTAATGCTATTATTTTGGATTTGGTTATCAACAAACTTACATCGAAACCATGAAATCAATCTAATAAATTTCTTAAAATCAAAATCCACAAGATATAGTGATGGTTTCATGAAGATAGGATTTTAAATGCACCATTAAATATTCATGAACTCAAATTTAACATAGGAATAAGATTACATTACTAGATTAATGTTTTTAATTTAGAATCAACAAAATTGCAAAAATGGTCCCTGTAGTATGCAGATTTTTGGGGTTTTAGTTCAAACCATGACTTTTTTGGATTGGTGGTCCTTTTGAGCTAGTTTCATTGCGTTTTTGGTCACTCTAAATAGTGAAATGACTGTAATACCCTTAGGTTATTTATTTTTCATTTCTTTCATTTTTTTAAAAATCTAAATACTTATTTATTTATTTAACTAATTAAAAAAATAAAAGTCTCTCTCTCTCTCTCTCTCTCTCTCGTATACCCATTTCTTTCTTTCGTTCCCGATTTCAACGAACAAGAAGGGGCTGCTACATCCGGCAATCTGGAGATAGCCACCGCACCACCTGCTAGCCTCTATTCGACCACCAAACTCCACCGTGAACCACTACATCTCCGCCCACCATAGAACCATTCCAGCCTCACCCCATCTCTTTTTCTTTTCTGTTGATCTGAGCAACCCCAAACAAACCCCAATCCTTGCTCCTTTTTTCCTCTTCGATCACCCTTGTATTGGGAAGACGGAAGCAACGAAGCTGCTGTGCTACCACTACTCGCCGCCGTTGTTGTGGTGGGCAGTCCCCACCACCACCTGTCACCGCCCACAGATCCAGATGCAGGTATCCGGTGGGACGACTTTAAACCCAAAAGAAACTTGAACAGACTTACCAATGGCAGAAATGCGATGGTGGATGACTGCAGTGGTGGTGGGATGTAATGGCGGTCGACGGTAGCTCCGACTGCTTCGTTTTCTTGCTGCTCCGATGAGTTCGATGAGGGGTCAAGAGGAAGCAGTAGCTGACGACGACGGAGCTTCACAGTAACGGAGACGTGGTGGCACTGAGCGATGATGTAGGCGAGTGGTGGAGTTCCGGCGACTTCTGTTGCTTTGTTTACGGCTTACCCTCTACGGGGATTGGTGGTGATCGAATTCGGTGACTAGTGATGGTTGGAGTGCCCTGACAACAGCAGCTTGGTGGTGGCGGTGATGGCCGGAACTCCACAGGATTAGCGACGGTGGGTAGTCGTGGGTGGCTGTCCTTAGTGGTTCTTGTTCCCTTCTTCGTTTTATGAGCAGCAGGTCTTCGAGAGGAAGAGTGTAGAAGGATAAGGTTGGATGAGAGAGAGAGAGAGAGAGAGAGAGGTGGGCCCCAAATTAGGTAATTATTTTATTTTTCATTTAAATTAAATAGAAAAAGCATAAATAAATATATCATAAGGGCATAATAGTCTTTTCAGTTTACTGAAGGACCAAAAACGCAAAGAAACTAGCTCAAAAGGACCACAAATCCAAAAAAGTCGTGGTTTAAACTAAAACCCCAAAAATTTGCATACCACAGGGACTATTTTTGCAATTTTGTCTTTAGAATCTAACACTATATTCGAATCATAATGGATTAACTAGGAAAATCATATTTGAAGAAATTACCAAATGTAAGAGACTTAGATAATCAAGGAAAAATTAAATCAATCACCTAGAGTTCCTTTCAACTTTTTTGTTAGAATTTACAAGAATAAATATTATTTTAGCATAAATTCTCAACCATTAATATAGGTATTATATGTTTGATAAGTTACAAAATGGCTATTCATGGTTATAAATTTGTAACATTGTTTGAGTTTAATGTGCACTCTAATGTTTTGGCTATAAAATATGGTTGGTCCCCAACATACAAATCATATAATAATTTGTTCTCTATTTGATCCTCATCATCAAAGCTTGGTTGAAAGAAACCAAAAAACCTTTGTTGAGGAAGACCATTACACATTGGTTACATCTTGTCGTCAAAGTTCCACATCCGGAAGATGACACATATATGGATTAAAGTATGAATTTATTTTACAACTTCATGATTTAATAATATGGTTTCGATCTAATTGATAGTATTTTATGCTAACAAGTGACTCATAATCAACATTAGATGTTCAATTTCACTTCAAGCCTTCCAATTCTTTGTCAAATTTGTTTTTTCTCTCAAAGCTAAACAACGTTCGAATGAAGAGAAAGGAGGGAAGTTTGGGGGTTAAAGCTCATAACTTTTGTCACTTGACAAAATGGGTCCCTAAACCTATAAGTTTTCCATTTGTTTCTACAACTAACTCCCAACTTTGTATAAGTCTTGAGATTCATGACTTTACCCTAATAAGTTTTTATTTAAAAATTAATTTCCCAAATTAAATTGACAAAATTAAGTATAACTCAAACCTAAGTTTTAATAACTTGCAAGCTTGATCCTTCAATCCTTAATTTTTCTATTTAATCCAAATTAACTTTCTAACAAACTTTTCTAAACTCATATCTTCTAAATCAATACTAAACGATAGAAATTCTTATAATACATAAATATCTTAATTAAATGGATTTATTCAAATATCATTTCTTAATTTCAAGTATTACAGGTTTGTGTACCTTAACTTTTACTTAACCAATCATAACTAAGTTTTATTTTAGTTAATTTATATTAATTAACTTGGAAGCTTTTAAATCCACTATTATATTTTAGGGAGAATTTCATATATACCTTTCCTAAACGACTAAATATCGTATTTGCCCAGCCTAAACTTTAAATATCATATTTATCCTTGTTAATGTTTTACAATATCAAATTTACCCAAATCTATTTTTTTAATAGTTTTTATTATGTAATAATATTTTTTACCATTTTAAAATCATTAAAACTAAAAACAACACCAAAAGGACAATACTACCCTTCCTTGACAAATCATAGGTTAACTCACACAAGGTTTAATTCTGGTCGTCTTCCTCACAATCGCATGTACGATCATCTCTTACCATTTTCCTTCTTGCCTCTCGCCACTTTCTTCATCGTTTGAATGCATCAGGTTGTAATTTTATGTTTTTATTTGTTAATTGATTATTAAAGTCATGATAAGAACTATGGGCAGCTTAGAATTTTAAAAGAAAGCGTGATCAGATTGTATCTGCTGTGTTTATCGTTTTTCATATTATGAAAAACTTTTTACCCAAGAAAAAGAAGGAAACTCCAAAACAAAAAATAAAAAATATGAATCTAAAGGTCAGTCACCTTAATTTATGAGAATAGATGTTACTGTTATGGAAGTTTCACTCTTCACTGAAAAAAAAAAACAACAACGATTACCTTGTAAATGTTATGTGGAGTTTCGTTATCTTAATTTGGTCTTTAGTCTTTGTATCACCTGTTGGTAGATCAATGTAACTTTCATTGGTCTTTCTTGGCTACATATTAATCCGCAAGTTATACGTGAAGCTTACAAACTAATTAACATATTTGCAATGTGTAGAGGAATCAAGCATAGAAGATGATGGGGTTTCTTTCCAAAGCAATTCAATTTCCAAATCCCTGTGACTCTATCCCTTTACTAGTAATTGGGTTGTTTCTCTTTTCATCAGTCTCTTCTTTTTGGTCCTCGTGAACAGAAACAGGTTAGCTATTATTATTACTACGCTTCAACTTCCTGTTCATTTGTAGATTACTTGATTTTAATATCATTTTCCTTTTTTTTATTACATATTAGTTTACAAGAGTTCAAGAATAAGCTCCTGGATCCAGGGTTTGTGCATTTTCTCATGAACCCAATAAAAGGACATGGAATTGTGAAATTAATACAGGGGCATCAAGAATTTGTTATTCCAAACACATATTTGTTTTGGATAAAGAAGGGGATATAAGAAAAAGGGCATAAATACTTGGTGCTTATTACCCGTGATGCAACACCGTCAGCAAAAATAAGATGGCAAGACGCCGACGATCATGAGGAGACAGACGGCGGTTGTAAGGAAGACGACCAGAGTATTAAAACCCCGTATGAATTAAACATCGTGTGAATTAAACCTGTGATTTGTAAAGGAAGGCGGGTATTATCGTCTATTTAATTGTTGTTTTTAGTTTTAATGATTTTAAAATGGTAAAAAGATTATTAAATAATAAAAACTATTAAAAAAATAAATTTGGGTAAATTTGATATTTTAAAACATTAACAAGGATAAATATGATATTTAAAATTTAAGTCGGGCAAATACGATATTTAGTCGTTTAATAAGGGTATATACGAAATTCTCCCTATATTTTATTTTATTTTTTAAAATTATTCAAAATAAGTTCATTAAAGGGTAAAACTCCTAACCCAAAAAACAAAGGTGTTACAGAATCTATAAAAGACCTTTTAAGGGATTTAACTTTGTTGAAGCTCGAATAATAAGATCATGCTTTAGAACATTCAAATATGTAATTATATGCATAATCATCCTCTTAGAAATGGGTTCTTAGGAATGGGTTGTTAAGAAGTCATCATCAGACGTTAATGAAATTACTACAATGACTAGATAATATCGTACTAAAACTAGGGTGGTCACTAAATGGGTCGCAAAGAAAACCTTTATCTACGATCCCCATCTAAAGGACATTTTCTCACAACAAATGATTTCCAAAAATCTGATGATTGAACTTATCATCACAAAGTATGAAGTATCAACAATCAACTAAATGTGTGAAATACGTGTTTCTTTTTTCAAAATGATTCTTATTGAGATATCGATAGTTTAGAAATGATTTGACTATTGTATATCAAACTTTATGATCACACATGTTTTCTTTGTAAAACATACTTTGACCACTATGTATACACCTAATCTAGTTATTATAGATTGTCATCAATCTTCTTATTTCATTGGTTACATTTCTTTTGACAAAACTTTTCTTACTTGCAATTTTGACGATTACTATATAAATAATTATCGTAATAACAACATTTTAGAAGAATTTTTTTATTAATTATTTGGTATGTTAATAATCAGTATAATCCTTGATATCAATTTGCTCTTAATCATTCAAATTATTAAGAAATTACAAGTTGGTTCTTTTATCACAAAACAACCTCATATAATTTAAACTCTTTTACTCACTAGAAACATGGATAAATCTCTTTTAAGCTATATCTTAAATTTTTGTCATCACATATGTCATCATTTCTTGACATAATTTATATTCTAACATTTTTTAAAGAAGTTTGTCAAAAAGACTACCATTAGTTTTCCAATCTCCTTAAATATCACATATCCATTTGACTTTAGTGTTTCATTCATAACTAAATCATAAAATATTAATTTTAAAAGGTATAAAAAAAATAAATGCACCCACGTTAAGCTTTACATTCTTTTAAGATTGTCATTCACAAATCCAAGAACAACAAAATATCATTATTCATGAAAACTCTATCATCATTTGTAATGCTTTCATGAAAATCAGATTTTAAACTTTGCAATGATTATCTTCAAATTTGAATAGTTATGTTAGTATACGTACAATTATTTATTATGTTGTATTTTTATATAAGCCCAATTATGTATAGCCCATTGGCAATCTTTGTAATCTTATATATCATATAAATATATTAATAGAGGTGCAAGTTAGGAACAATATTAGCCTCTTGGTTTACAATTTTGGATTCTTGGCTGGGTTTAGTGGTAGTCGACTTGTAACATCCGTCTTTTCAGGTACTATACTCTTATGTTTATTGAATGAAAATGTGTGAAGTGTTTTGTTCTGCCACGGCGTGGAGCATTGTTTACCACAACGTGGTGGTTATATGATGCCACGACGTGGTGTATTGTTTGCCACAACGTGGCGTCGCTGTGTGCACAAACCCTAAGTTTCGGGTTTTGGGCCCTATATAAGGAATATGGGGGTTAGGGTTTCGATCACTCTCAACCCCCATCACCTTCAGGAGATGCTCTCTTAAACCCTAGCCTCTTCTCTTGCCATTTGAGCTATTTATTGGTGTTTTGGGCATTTGAAGGTTGATGGAAGGCCTTGTTGAGCAAGGAACCAACTAGCAACTCATCTCTATCTCTTGGTGCACCTTCTGGACCTTTTGTAAGTCTTCAAGCTCTCACCTTTATGATTCATATATTGTAGATCTAATATTAGGGATCATTTTCTTCATGTCGTGCTCATATGAATGGTTGTTTTAGATAAAGTTGTCAACTTTATTACAATATTTTCATCCGTCTTATTTGTGAGCTTTAAATTAGCATACAAATAATGATAGAGCTTAAAGAAAATGGATGATCCCAAATAAATTTTATTGAAAAAAAAAGTAGAAGAGAGAGTTGGTGTTTCAAGAGTATAAAAAACTTCAGTGTCAAATACACTTTAGGTGCAAGAAACTCACATAATTTAAAGGTATGTACTTTGATCTCTAGTAAAATTTTGGTAAAAGTTTTGTATCCTTTGGAACAAAATATATAGCTTGCACATCATATTGCTTATGATATGAACCATTTCCAATTAGTTCCCTCGTGACAGTTTCATAATAGTCTTTTAAAATTAGATAAGAAGAGAGACTAATTATCTATGGATCATATGTGTAGAAGCATCTATAAACATATTATAGGTTTCTAAGAATCATCACTCGTCTTTTGACAGAAAAAATAAATTGCATTGTTGAATTGGCATGACACATGTAAGATCATGAGATTGGTTTTGTCTTTAATAGTCAGTATTTTTTAGAAGAGAGATCAAATTATATGGATTATCATATTAAGACCAATATCTTATGTGAGATGTGAATGGTAACATTTGGTATAAGAAGAATACACAAATGAATCACCCAAATAGGTGATTATTTTGAGTTTGCTTGGTAGACATCAAGGTTTATTATTAATTTTTTCAACAACGTCTAGTTATGATGGAGGTCTAACAAAGTGTGGAAATGATACTGTGTTGGTGGACCACTTCAAAAAAGTATTAAAAGGGAAAATTGGATAAATAAAGTCAAATAAAAGTGATAAGACATTTCTTGTATATTTTCTCACTTCGGGTCCAATATTATCACCAACAGTTGAAAGGTCAATAAACGACCTTAAAAAGACTATCAGAAGGAGTTAGGTCCGACCATCCGAGAGTGTAGAAATGTTATTGCATGACCGTCTCAAAATAAAATTAAAAAATGAAAAATTATATAAACGAAGTCAAACATAAATTATGAGAAATTCTTTTATATTTTATCTCCGAACAAAGTATTAAAAGGAGAAATAGAAAATATACTAAAAATAAAATTATATGGATCAACAATATTGCCGGAGATAATTTGTATTTAATGTAACTTTTTTTTTTCTATCATCCTAAATAAAAATTTCACAAAAACTGTCAAATATAAACACCTAGTGGATGTAAACACTTAGGTCTTGCTATGGAAAAATAAGTTTAGTTATTGACTTGTAAAGACAAATATGTAAAAAATGAAATGAATTTTTATGTGTTTTTTAGAACCCCACCCACCCCCATAAATGAAAACGTATATTTAAAAGTTTGAGAAGCAATTTTGTAACAAAAATCTAGTATCTAAAAACGGAAAAATATTATAAAAAAAAAAACACAAATAAAAACAAAGATATAAATGAATTTGTAAAACAAATTATCTTAAAAAGTAATTTAAAAAAATAAAAAATAAATTTAAAAAAAAAGTTGGCGAAAAATTATATAAAAAAAAAAGGTTTGGACCAAATTTGTAAAAGAAAATGAATATTGAACCAAAAAGGTAAAAAGGAAGAAGCTTTTGCCAAAATTGTAAAAAGGAAAACCGGATGGGATGGGCAATTGGCATGAGTTAGGACTTAGGATATAGGGCAGGGGATGCGGGTTAGCTCATACCCGATTTGTAACTATGTGGAAAATATAGTTAAGAGAGGAGAATACCTTGGACAAAACATTTATCAAACCACTACGATGCACATTATTTTTCTATAAATATACCACATATTAAATATGAGATAACCTAAAACTAATAAAAAATAAATAATAGAATTACTGTCCATGATACTTTT